TTTTCATTTCTCTTCAAAAGGAGTTACATTTTTTTTTTTAATTAGTTACTCACTAATCTGCTAAAACCGTTACACCTTAATAAATATATTTTTATTAATAATTTTTTGAATAAGTTACTAAATTAATTCTAAATTTGGTAGCAAATATTCAAATGTGTAACGACTAATGTTGAACTTAAAGTTGATTGACACATTCAGAGCTGTAACCGTTATATTTGGTTGCATTGTTGGAAGAAAAATATGAATTAATTTTGAATGATAAAAATAACTTAAGAAAAAAATAATAATTTTTATATAATAAAAATATATATCTAATCTAATTAATAAATAAAAACAAGAACGTATTTTATATCTGTGCAAATACACATAATCAAATACGAGTAGAGTAGTAATAGATTTGGGATAGGAGAGAATATAAATCATATCCTCCCTATATATAATTGCAGAATGCGTTGGGCCTACGTGGCTGCTTCTGGTGCTTCGGAATCCTATTTGGCAAAGAATCATGCTTCGTAATTAGGTTTGGACAAATAATATTAATATATTAATAATTAATAATCTAGGTTCGGGTATTCCATAAATATTACTTAGCTAACTTAGGTATTTTAATATCACTTTTACTAATATAACCCTTTAATTATTTGTAATTTTATATAGTGAGACACTAAGTGACTAATATATCCCTAAATTTTGATTTGCTTCCTTCAATAAGTTATTGATTTATAAATGTATTTCAAAAGTAGATAACTTTTGTATTTCTTATCAGTTTTACATATATAATATATCAAATTAATCATCTTTTGATGATCTTCGATTTGACATCCATATTGTATATATAAAATAAATAATTTAAATTTATCTTTATAATAATAAAAAATAATAATATTTATTAAAATTCATTAGAAAATAAAATTATTTCTCAATTGATATATTTATATTTAATGTAGTTATATAGTGTAAGTTAAAAAATTAATATAATATAACACAAGTAAGTCGCACAAATAAAAATTATCATAATAAATATATAATAATATATATATATATTTTTATAAACTGTATTTAAATTTTCAAACTATTTTTTCTCATTAATTTTAAACTTTAAGAAAAAAATTAGCAAGCACCCGTGTAATACACGGGTGTTGTACTAGTTCATCCATGTAGACAAAACCAACACGATTGCCAAGTCAAACAAGTAGAAAAATCTTCGATTAAAAATTAAAAATCAGCAAGCAACTCTTCAATAATTCCAAATTCCACCCCAATTTTTTCTTATTCGTCTTCCCGCAGCCAAACCCCATTTTTACTCACTGATCTGTACTACCATAAAAGGGAGACTCGGTATATATTCCTTTTCGCGCTCTTTCCACAAATTATTATCCCTTAAAAATTTCCCCTAAAATTTATTTTCAAAATCGACGCTTTCGATTACCCACAGAAGTTCATCCCCTCGAGACGTTATTGTCTGCTATAGATATATACATACGCTCTGCACATAGCTCTGCAAGGACGCTCACAGTTGCTGGCTTGCTTCAATGGCGTCCGAACAACAGATGTCTGCAATTAAGGTACTTTGTTTGGGTCTGCTTGTTCGTGCCTTTTTGCTATTGTTGTGTACTTGAGTTTTTGAAGCGAGTGTTTGAGTTATATGGCTTGGTTAGGGTGCAAAGGTGCTTATGGTGGGCGCCGGCGGTATTGGTTGCGAGCTTTTGAAGACCCTGGCGCTATCAGGTTTCAACGAGATTCATATCGTGAGTGGAAATTTTCCTTCCGTTTCGAACTGTTGTGAAGTAATCGTTTGGGCTAATTTTGAATTATTTGGTGGGCGTGGATTGTTAGGGTTTTTTTATGAACTAGGGTTTTGTGGCATCTGCAGACTGTTACCGTTTAAAAGCCCTGTAGGTTTTGGTAAATGCTTGTTTTGCTTAGTTTATTTGTGGTGTGGAGACATTGAGAAGTCCTTTGGATGTGGAGTTTTGGTCTTACTTCGAGTTGATTTAGTTGTCGAATTGTAATTAGTTTGGAATGCTTATGTTCTAGGCCACCTAATTTGCGATGACATGAAGAAGGGGCTTCAAGGAAAATTGAATTTGATAGTGGATAATATGTTATTTCGGTTTGAAGATCTTGCAGGGTCTGGAAGGGAATGGAAATTATACATTTATGTTTTATTTTTAAAATGTTCATGGAAGAAGAAGATATGTAAGATATAGATAGCTTGCTCATCTGTCACTGCACAAATTTTCTTGTGTTGATAGTGAGAATTGTTTGTAGAGGTAGGCCACGGACTGTTGCTCATTGTGTATTTGCATTTTTTAATAATAATAATAATAATAATAATAATAATAATAATAATAATAATAATAATAATAATAATAAGTGGAACAAACCAGGTGCATCACAGCGATATAATATGTTACTTATGTTAGTCTAGGAGCCAACTAAAGAAGAAAATTAAATCGACGAGCCCACCTAAGGGATTAGAATATTCCAGTGATTGATACACTTATATATACTATAGTTACATTAACGATTATATCATCATTGTCATAATCATATTGTGCAGATGATGTGAGTGTTTTATTATTGCTTGTCTCAACCAGATTGACTTGGACACAATTGAAGTCAGCAACCTAAACAGACAGTTCTTGTTTCGACAATCACATGTCGGGCAGTCCAAAGCCAAAGTGAGTAGAGGCATTATCTTCCTTATTTCTTGTTCTTGTCCCCC